AGGGGAGCTCTATGTGGAGTCTTTTGAGGAACCTCCATGCTGTTTTCCAAGTTTTGAACAAGTTTATACTCCCTCCAACAATGCAGTAAGGTTCCCTTCTGTCCGCCTCCCCTCCAGCATCTGTTGTTATTAGAGTTCTTGATTATAGCCATTCTAACTGGGGTGAGGTGGTATCTCAATGTTGTTTTGATTTGCATTTCTTTTATGGCTAGGGAGGTGGAGCATTTCTTCATGTGTCTATTGGCCATCCTTCTTTCTTCTTCAGAGAAGTTTCTCTTTAAGTCTTTAGCCCACTTATTTATTGGGCAGTCATTTCTTTGAAGATTTGTTGTTGGGGGATTTAATTTTTTGAGTTCCAGGTATATTAGAAATGAGATCCTTGTCTGTTGTATGGCTAGTGAAGATCTTCTCCCAATCTGTGGGCTTTCTACTGATCTTGCTAGCTATGTCCTTTGCCATGCAGAAGCTCTGCAATTTTATATAATCCCATTTGTTCAACCTTTCTTTGATTTGTTGTGTTTCTGGGTCTCTATTAAGAAAATTTGGGCCTGTGCCTAGGAGACCTAGGGTTTCTCCTATTCCATCCTGTAATGTTTTCAGAGTGTCTGCTTTGACTCTGAGGTCTTTGATCCATTTGGAGTTGATTCTGGTGCAGGGTGATATATAAGGATCTAGCTTTAGTTTTCTACAAGCGATTAACCAATTTTGCCAGCACCATTGACTGAAGAGGCTGTCTTTCTTCCATTCTAATTTTTAGCTCCCTTATCAAAGATTAGATGGCTATAGGTCTGTGGGTTCATTTCTGGGTTTTCAATTCTATTCCATTGGTCCTGAGGTCTGTTCTTGTGCCAGTACCAAGCTGTTTTGATTACCTTGGCTTTATAGTAGAGTTTGAAATTTGGTATTGATATTCCTCTAGCACTGTTCTTTCTGTTAAGGATCGTTTTTGCTATTCGGGGTCTTTTATTGTTCCATATGAGTTTTTGGATTGCCTCTTCTATTTCCTTGAAGAATGAGGTTGGAATATGGATAGGTAGCTAGGATTATAGGCCTGAGCCACTGCACCCAGCTACTTTGCATGTTTTATATCTTTAAATTTTGTATCTTAGACATTTGGGAATTTTCCAAATTGCTGTGTCCACCTGTGGGTCTGTGCCATCCTGTGCTTTGCAAAGCTTGCCCATTATCCCCAATAGCAGCATGTAGGATCCTTTGGTCCACCTTCCCCACCCATGGTCCAGGCAGCAACAGCTGCTGCTTAGTGGATAGTTTGGGCACTTTACTGGGCACCCTATTTTAAGTTTGTTTCCTGCTCCTGTGAAATGTTACTTTGGATGCATCTCAGATGAAGCCGTGTGAGCCCATTGAGCCTGAGCTATGGCTTAGTCTGGAAGTTGGTGCCATGTCAGAGACTTTCACTGGACTCTGAAGGGAATCCTGTGTGATAGTTCTTAATGGCACTTTTCACAGATGTGGGCCAGATTCAGAGTTCTGTGATTTTCTTTATTCTCCTGTTTTCTGTCTCGTTCCTATTAAATGGAACTCAAGCTACTTGAATGCTGCAATCTTCTTTATATTACATCTCGCTTTCTGCTCCTCTTCTCAGATTGGACTTGATAAGGCTGTGTCCTTAGATTTGTCCTCCGCCTCAGCCCTTAACCTTGTCACCCTCCTGACAGTGCTTCGTGTTTCCTCCTCTCATCTTCCCGCAGCCCTGCACACCTCTTCCTTCCGCCAAAGCTCACGGTGCTTCATTGCCACCCAAAGTCTTGTTCCTTGTCTCACAGCATTAGTGTCACTCAGGCCTGTCAGACATGCAGACTCTTAGGTCCCAGGCTTTCCACAGGGCCAATGTGCACATTCCAGTTTGTGAAGCTCTGTTCCACATTGTGCTCTGCTCCAGCCCTAGAGGGGCTCAGTTTATGGGAAGAATACTGGATTCTAGAAATACTTTCCAAGTTTTTACTTCTTTAGAAGGTGACTATACAATGGTTAATAGATTAGTGAAGATTCTAGTAGGTCAGTAGAGGACCTCGTTTCTTCTGTTATGTGCAGTTGCAGCATTGGACATACCTTAGACCAGAGTGACAGGTGCTTTATTGAAGGCAAGTCTCATCATGTCCTTAGGTATGAGAAGCCCCCCTGGAATGCTGAGGATTAAAAGGGATAGGGAAAGGGTATGGGCTATGGACTCCGTAGCCAAGTGGCACAAGCCCAGGAGGCTGCGTGGAAGAAAATGTGAGATTGTAAACTAGCAGATTTACGCGGATTCCATCCCAGGCTCCCACCTTTCCTTCCTCTGTCTGCATTCTCTCCTGCACTGGTATTGGTGGGAGCTTTATCTGTGGTGACCCTCCTCACTTTTTTAGATTTGTTAGCTATACCCATAGATTATATAAAGTAATTGTGTATACAAACATACACAGACACACACACACAATTTGCTCACTATAGCATCAGAGAAATGTGATGTTTTGGGTAGGGAGGAAGAGATATCATAGCTATCTAAATGCAAAAGGCTTAAAAAAGAAAGTGTTCACTCAGACTGTACCCAATCTGGCATCGTTGGAAAAGACTATCCTTTTGCATGAGGATTGGTTATTTGTTGTACATTTTGGTTACTGATTGGAATATTTGGGATAGGAAGCTTGGAAGATGTTCACTTGCACTGCTTACGTAGTGCCAAGGTATGCCCCATTTTGCTTAATGAAAGGGGGCCTCTGTCTCATGCATCAGGTGCTCTGACCGGGCCATCCCCACAGCGGGCCTGTGTTGGTGAGTATAAGCACAAATGGCCTGCAGGATTTTGTTTCACCCTAGAAGCTTCTCATGATAGAAGAACCTGACACCGGAAACACATGGAAACTGGATCTTGGGTTTCAGATCTTGTTCAAATGGTGGCAAATTGAGAACTGAAAAGTGTCAGACATGGAAAACTGTAATTACTTAAATGGGTAAGCGGAGCAGTGGAAAAACATGTTTAACTTAGAAAAATAAAGAAGTTGGTGAGTTTCTTAGACATTTGCCATTAGCAGGAAACACTTTTAATAAGCATCTATATGAATATCTATATGTATATATATATATATATATATATATATATATATATAGATAGATAGATAGATACAGATATAGATATTTGTAAGTTGGCCAGATTATCTGACTCAGACCTTTGTCCTGGTAATCTGCACTTCGATGTGCAAAAATAGCCCCAGTTGAAATGTGCTGGTCAGGTTATTGAGTGAACTAGAAGTTGGTGAGAAGTTCATTATGTTTGAAAATATTTGCCTAAAACACCAAAATTATTTTCTTTCATCATGAATGTATAACAGTGGGCATGAGATTCCTGTGATGACTCAGGGTGCTCCTGTGGGTTTTGGACGGCACCTTAGAAGGCCTTGAGCTGGCCTGGTTGATACCTTTAAAATTGAGGGTTAATTGAGCCTGGCACTGGTGGCTCATGTGTGTTAATCCTAGCTACTCAGGAGTAAGTCCGGGCAGGAAAGTCCCTGAGATTCTTAACTCCAATAAACCACCAGAAAACTGGAAGTGACGTTGTGGCTCATGTGGTAGAGTGCTAGCCTTGAGCTTAAGCGCTAAGGGACAACACCCAGGCCCAGAGTTCAGGCCCCACAACCAACCAACCAATAAATAAATAAGTAAAATATTGAGGGTTAGCGTTAGATGGCATCCTCCTGGCTGTCACCGTGCTTTGACACGGCAAACCGAATCTAGTATGGCCTTGAGCTTTGCAGCCAAGTATGCTTTCTTGAAGGTTTTCATTCATTTTGTTTCAAAGCTTAGTTATGTGGTGATGTAAATATTTGGTTTTTTGGCTGGAGGCTGGTGGCTCCCACCTGTATTTCTAGCTAGTTGGGAGGCAGAGATCAAGAGGATTCTGGCTTGATGCCAGTTCAGTCAAAAAGTTTACCAGACCCTATCTCACTAATACTGGATATGATATAATGGTGTGCTTCTGTCCTTGTAGCTTCTGTCCTTGTGTGGGAAACGGAAATTTGGAAGTTTTTTGAGGCTGGTCCTGGCAAGAAAGTTTGTGAGGTCCCATCTCAACAGAAAAAATGGACATGGTTGGGCATTCCTGTTATCCCAGCTACAACAGGAAACATAAATAGAACTGTGGTCAAGGCTGGTTTGGGGCAAAAGTGAGACCTAATCTCAAAAATAACCTGTGCAAAAAGGGCTGGAATCATGGCTCATTAAGTAAAATATTGGCCTAGCAAACGTGAAGCCCAGAATTCAAACCCCAGAACCATAAAACAGAACAAGCTACAACCTTTTCCTCCCTCTAGCAGCATTTTCCGAATGTAATACACACAACCTTATTTTTCTGCTGTGAGAACAGTCTAAACTATGACAGTTTATTTACTGCAGGACTTCTCAGAGCCATCGATTGCTAATATTTCCCTTGACACTGTTAGCATGACATATAGTTTCTGAAACTTACTTTAACTTTACTTTGTCTTACCCTCTTTTCTGGAGAGAATGTTTACCCAAAAAGATAGTTTAAGAAATGATAGTTTACCATTTTCCAGTGTTTTTTCTTTCACTCATTACTTCCACAGTCCTGAGACACAGATGGTTTTGTGCCCTTTTGGTGAAGGGAGCAAATGAGGATCATCAGAATTCAGAGCACCCAGGGCTGCCAGTAGTCTTTTCTCTGTGTGCTGAGGCCTTCATATTTGTAGGAGACACTTAGTCCTTGTATGGCAGAGCTGTCTACTGGCAGGGGACATCAGAGTGACATCCTGAGCTGAAGTTCCTCTGTGCTGTGGCTGGTCTCCATTGAGGTGGAGGCATTCTGATGCCAGTTGACAAGGGTGAGAGGTGCCTTCACATAACTTCTTTGAAGTGATGGCGGAGGCAGCCCCAGGTAGGCTTTCAGATGGGAGCATTGCGAGGTACCCAGTGGTGGTGCACGTGTGTTTTCCTCTTTCCCTTTGTGCATTATGGTATTATGTCATGTTTTGCTCTTTTTGCAGAAAGAAATCCAAGCCATGAGTCAGTGCAGCCATCCCAACGTAGTGACCTATTACACCTCATTTGTGGTAAAAGATGAACTTTGGCTGGTCATGAAATTACTAAGTGGAGGTAAGTGGGTTTTGTGGTTGCTTGCTGGTTTTCCTTTTGTCCCCTTCTTTAGGGGAAGTGTGTGCCAAATGAGATGTTGGATTTGACTCTTCTCTTTCCTGGGCTTCTAAGATTTGTTATCTAAAGAAGGAAGTCCAGGTTTATTAATATAAGATTTCAAAGCCTTTCATAATGGGCTTCTACTTCTTGGAATATCCATGTCCTATATCCACATTTTAAATACCTCCAGGTAGGTTAGGTGAGGCTCAGGCACCACGTTGTGTGTTCCATGCTTCTGGCCTTTTCCCGGTGAATCTCTTCAGCCTTAATTGTCTCTTCTTCCTTTACCTGCACTCAAGCCATGAAAGATCACCTCTTCCTTCACCACTTATTCTCTTCAAAACCATTAGCCAGTTTTACCTCTCCCTCCCTTCCTCCCTTCTTTCTTCCTTCCCTTCCTCCCTTCTTTCTTCCCTCCTTCCCTCCCTCTCTTCCCTCCTTCCTCCTTCCCTCCCTGCCTCCCTCCCTCCCTTTTTTCTCCTCTTCTTCCTCCTCCTCTTCTGAGTGTGTGTGTGTGTGTGTGTGTGTGTGTGTGTGTGTGTGTGTGCATTCAGTTCTAGGGTTTGAATGCAGAGCCTAGGTGCTGTGTGTGAGCTTTTTAAATTTAAAAAAATTTTTTTTGTGGTCAGCCACAGCTCTACTTCTGGCTTTTTGGTCATTAATTGGATTACAGGTGTGAGCCATTAGCACCCCATCTCTTCCTCCTCCTCCTTCTCCTTCTCCTTCTCCTCCTTCCCCTCTTCCTCCTCCCCCTCCTCTTCCCCCTCCTCCTCCTCCTCTTCTTCTTCCTCCTATTCCTCCTCCTCCTCCTCTTCCTTCTCCTCCTCTCCTCCTTCTCCTCCTCCTCCTCCTCCTCCTCCTTCTCCTCCTCTCCTCCTCCTCCTCCTCCTCCTCCTCCTCCTCCTTCTCCTCTTCTCCTTCTCCTCCTCTCCTCCTCCTTCTCCTCCTCTCCTCCTCCTCCTCTTCCTCCTTCTCCTCCTCTTCTTCTTCTTCTTCTTCTTTGTCTCATTCTACCTTCTTCCTTTTTCCTTCTTTCTTTTGTCTTTTTTTCGCAGTGCTGAGCATGAATCCAGGGCCTCAGAAGTGCCAGGCAAGCACTCTCTTGTGCTGACTACATTCCTAGTGCAGTGCAGTGTTGCCTCTTAAAACTCATTTCCTTCTCCTTCTCTTCCACCTCTTCCCCTCTTTCTCTTGTTCTCCTTCCTCATCTTCTTTCATCTTCTTTCTCCCTTTCTTTTTGTGCTAATACTAGACTTGAAGTCTAGGACTTAAACTCTAAGCCTAGGTACTGTCTCTTAGTTTTTCTCATTAAAGGCTGGCACTCTTACCACTTGAGCCACGGCTCCACTTCCAGCTCTTCGGTAATTAATTGGAGATAAGAGTCTCAGGGACTTTCCTGCCTGTGCTGGCTTCAAACCTTCATGTTCATATCTCGGCCTCTGAATAGCTAAATGAGCCATTGGAAGTCAGATCATTAAAAATATGCATATTTTATCTGCAAAAAGGGGTTGCTTTGAACTCTTTTAAAACATTGTTCAGTACTTAGTGCATTGTAATATACAAGATCATTTTAGTGTTGCTCTAATATTAAAACTTTCTGAGAAGGAAGATGTGTAGCTAGTATGACTGAGGGACTGAGTTTCTGTTTAGTCTTACTTCACTCATATTTAAATCACCCCACATGGCTAGTGACTATGCTTTCAGACATGAGACTGCAGGCTCAAGCATGTGGACTGTTCTTTCGTTTGAAGAAAGAACTATAGTATACTTGGACTCTCTGAACCTGGTGTTCAGTGGGTGCTCAGTTGACTTGGAGAGAAATGTGTGTTGAGTGTTTACTTATGTGGTGATCAGAAGGGATATCATTACCCTTTCTCTCCCTCCCTCTCTTTCTCCCTCCCTCCCTTTCTTCCTTTATTCCTTCTTCATATATGTGTGTGTGTGTGTGTATACATATGCTTTTTATTGTAAAAATTACTGTACAGAGGGATTATAGTTACATGAGTAAAGTAATGAGTACATTTCCTATCGAGCATTGTCACCTCCTTTGTTTTTCCCCTATCATCCCTTCCCTTCCCACCTTCCCAACTCCTCCCCCCACCTCCGAAATTTCTGACATCATGTAAGTTATTGTCAGTTTAATTGACATGGCTCTTTCTTGTCCATGTACTCAACATCAGTGAGAGAGGGACTGAGAAAAACCATTAACTTTATTATTAACAGTTATGCTATGGTGAGATCCTGTTCAAGAAAATTCACTTACTTATCTCATTTGACCTTGACTACATCCCTAAATTCAAGGGAGCAACCTGACCAAGGTCACACACATAGTAATTGCTGCTGCTACTGCTGCTGCTGGATTTTGAGACTGAAGGACTGTCAACTTTAAAGTTGTGCTATACTCCAACTCACTTAAAATATCTAAGTGACTTCCTTAGCTCTCTGTGGGTTACATCCTCTGTGTGTAGTCCTGAGGGATGAGGGATAGTTTAGGACTAGAAGTGATCATTCTGTATAGCCCAAAGAAAGCCAAAGCTTATAGTACACATTTCAAGTTTCTTCTTTTTAAAGAATCTCTTGGATTAAGCCAGAGGCTCAGAAATGAGATGAAGAACATATTATAATGGGTTTACCCATAGGGAACACGGAGAACTTAGCTGTTTCCTTCCCAGTCCTCCTCAGTCCTAGTAATCTTTGTTTCCTTGAGTGTCTGCTTTAGTTTTTGATTGAACATGAAAGATAAAAGAGGAAAAGAAAGGCTATAAAGTCTGCACCAAAATATTGAGAGCTGGGGCGATTCCTTCTTTCTATGGAGGACTGTGCTTTCCATAAATTAAATGGTACAATATAAAAGGATTTCATCATTGACATTTCCTTCCATGTGTTAAATGTAACTCCATCGCTCTATTGCTCTCTCTTTTGCTCTCTCTATTGTTCTTTCTTACTCTCCATACAACATAATCTCGTTCTTAATGGCTGAGTAAAACTCTTACGGTATAAGTATACCACCTTTTCCCATCTTGGTTGAATCCATAGTTTGGATATAGAATAATGCTGTGAGAAACTTAAGGATACAGACATTTCTGTAGTAAATTGACCGATTCGTTTATGTTTATACTCAGAAGCAGTGCAACTGTATCATACAGAAGTTCAATTTTTTAAGTTTTTTTGAGCAACTCTCATACTGATTTCTGTAGTGGCTGCAGTCATTTACATTCTTAACAGTAGTGAATAAGGGCTCCTTCCCCATCTTCCCCATCCTCCCAATATTTCCTTGTTTCCTTGATGATGCCAATTCTGACTGAGGTTAGATGGAAACACCAGGGAGTTTTTATTTTTGCTTCCCTGATAGCTACAGGTTGTTGAACATTTTTTCTCTCATGTATTTATTGGCTGTATTTATTATTTATTTACAAAGTGTTCAGTTCCATTTCTTATTTATTGATTGGCTCATTTGCTTCTCTTTTTTCTTTTCACTAACTTTTAAGTTTCTTATAAATTCTAGGTTTTTCTCACATTCTCTAGGCTGTCTTTTTACTCTATTGTTTCCAGTGACCTGCATGAACTTTTTAACTGGACACAATCATATTTTTTTTGTCAATTCTTGCTTTTATTTCCTAAGCTATTGTAGTCTTCTTTCTTTCTTCCTCTCTTCCTTCTCATTATTTCTCTTTCCTTTTTTCTTTTTCTCTTTCTTTTTATCTCATTTTCTCTTTCCTCTTTCTTTTTCTCCTCCCTCCCTCCCTCCCTCCCTCCCTCCCTCCCTCCCTCCCTCCCTTCCTTCCTTCCTTCCTTCCTTCCCTCCCTCCCTGTTTTTTGTTCTTGTTCTTGTTCCTTTTTGTGTAGGCTCTGAGCCTTATCTTGAGCTTTTTTTGACCAAGGCTAATGCTTTACTACTGGGGCCACAGTGCTACTTTGAGTTTTTTGGTGGTGGTTAATTAGAGATAAGAATGTCACAGATTTTCCTGCCTCTGCTGGCTTGAACCTTGATCCTCAGATTTCAACCTCCTGAGAGGTGAGAGGTGTGAACCACTGTGCCTAGTGATATTGTATTCTTTTTTTTTTTTTTTGGGTCCGGTCGTGGGGCCTGAACTCTGGGCCTGGGCACTGTCCCTCAGCTCTTCAGCTCAAGGCTAGCGCTCTACCACTTGAGCCACAGCGCCACTTCCGGCTTTTTTCTTTTTGCTTATGTGGTGCTGTGGAATCGAACCCAGGGCCTCAGGCATGCAAGGCAAGCGCTCTACCACTGAGCTACCTTCCCAGCGCCCTGATATTGTATTCTTATTGGGATAGTTCTTGCCTGTGTCTGTTTTCTCTCTGCCTTCCTCTAGTAGTTTCAGAATTCCAGGCCCTCCTTAAAGTCTTTTACTCTTCTTCTTCTTCCTCCTCTTCTTCCTCTTCCTCCTCCCCCTCCCCTTCTTCCTCTTCCTCCTCTCCCCCCTCCTCCTCCTCTTCTTCTTCAGCCACAGTGCCACTTCACCTTTTTTTGGTTACTTTTTTTTTTATTACATATATATATATATGTATTATTTTTTTGGTCATGGGGCCTGAACTCCTGGCCTGGGTGCCATCCCTCAGCTCTTCTACCACTTGAGCCACAGCACCACTTCTAGCTTTTTCTGCTTATGTGGTGCTGAGGAATCAAACCAGGGCCTTATGCATGCCAGGCAAGTGCTCTACCAGTGAGCCACCTTCCAAGCTCCCTTACTATATATTTTATGGTAAAGATACTGTACAGAGGGGGTACAGTTACATGAGTGAGATAATGTACATTTCCTATCAAGCATTGTTACTTCCTCCTTTGTTTTTCCCCTACCATAGCTTCCCTCCCTGCCCTCCCCAATTCCTCCCTCCCCTCCATGAAGTTGTAAAGTTTGTTTTCAACATAGTGTCTTGTACATCTCATTGTTACAAGGGATCAACCTGTATCCTTATTTAAGCATTTTGTTTTTTCCCTTCCCCTACCCAAATTAGAGAAATGTATATACAAGATGAAGGACACCAGAATCAAATACAGTGAAAACAGGGGTATACCATGGGGGAAGAACATACAAAAGAAACAAAAAAAATTACATAGTATATTATAAATACATTAAAAACAACAGCAAGAAAGATAAAACCTCTTGTGTCCTTAACTTGGGGTGCATTTCACTTAGCATTTTCTTATATGGTCATATGTACCTTTCTGCTTCTACTAGACGTATACTAGTTATTCCAAATTAAAAAAACCATGGGACCTATGTTTCTTCGGGCCTGCTGTACTTCACTTAATATAATTTTTCCAAGTCTTTCCATTTCCTAACAAATGGGGCAATGTCATTCTTTCTAATGGAGGTATAGAATTTCATTATATATATATATATATATATATATATGTGTACGTATATATATATATATATATATATATAATATATATATATAAACATTTCCTTGATCTATCCATTTACTAAGGGGCATCTGGGTTGGTTCCATATCTTAGTTATGGTGAATATTGCTGTGATAAACATAGTTGTGCTCATAGCTTTAGTATGACCTTGTGATGATTTGGGTAAATGCATGTCAGGTTTATTGGTGGCAAGAGTCTTACAGAATTTCCTGCCCAGGCTGGTTTCAAACATTGATGCTCAGATCTCAGCTTCCTGAGTAGTTAGGATTACAGGAGTGAGTTACCAGAGCCCAGCTCTTTGACACAATTTGGGTTGACTTTTCTACAAGATGAACAATAGGAATATAGTTTCAGTCTCCTTCATGTAGATACCCAGTTTTCTCAGCACCATTTATTAAAGAAGGGGGTCTTTTTTCTTTCTTTCTTTCTTTCTTTTTTTTTTTGGTCAGTCATGGGGCTTGAACTCTGGGCTTGGGTGCTCTCCCTGTGCTCTTCAGCTCAAGGCAAGCGCTCTACAGCTTGAGTCACAGTGCAACTTCCGGTTTTCTACTGGTTTATTGGAGATCAGAGTCTCACGGACTTTCCTGCGTGGGCTGAGTTTGAGCCACGATCCTCAGATCTCAGCCTCCTGAGTAGCTAGGATTACAGGCATGAGCCACTGGTGCCCAGCAAAGGTGGGGGGGGGTGAAGGGGGGGTATCTTTTTTTCTTATGTATGGTTTTTGGATCTTTGTGAAGAATCAGTACAGTATGTACCGTATTATTTTATATCTACTGGTCTCTTTCCTTGACCAATATGTCTTTTTTTCTTTGCTGTGTTTTCTTATTATACTTCTGTGGTATAGTTTGAAGTCAAGTATGTATGATAAGTCTGCTAGTATTGCTTGTTATTGTTTAGGATTGCTTTGGCTCATCTTTTTGTGTTTCCATGTAAACTTTAGAATTCCCCCCTTATTTTAATAAAGAATAGCATTGAAATTTTGATGGTAGTTGCACTGAATATTTATGTTGCCTATGGACGTGTACTCATTTTAACATTATCAATTCTGCCAATCCATCATTTGGCTGATCTTTTCTATTTTCTGGTGCCTTCCACAATTCCTTTCTTTAATACTTCATACTTTTCATTATAAAAATCTTTAACATTTGGCTAAGCATATGTATGGATACTTTATTTTGCTTTTTTTTTTTTCGGTCATGGGGCTTGAACTCTGGGCCTAGCTCTTAAGCTCAAGGTTAACACACTACCACTTGAGCCACAGTGCCACTTCTGGTTTTCTGGTGGTTAATTGGAGATAAGAGTCTCACAGACTTTTTCTGCCTGGGCTGACTTTGAACTGTGATCCTCAGATCTCAGCCTCCTGAGGAGCTAGGATTACAGGCATGAGCCACCAATACCCGGCTTTTATTTTGCTTTTTGAGTCTACTGTAAATGAGATTGTTTTCCTGACTTTTTCTCCCCAGCAAGTTCCTTGTTGGTATACAAAAAAGCTATTGATTTTGTATGTTGATTTTGCATTCTGTAACTTTGCTGAAGGCATTTCTCACATTGAAGTGTTTTCTGTTTAGGGTCTTTTAAGTACAGTATCATATCATTTGCTAACAGGGATATTTTGACTTCTTCCTTCCCTGTTTGAGTCCTGTTTATTTCTTTCTCTTGCCAAGAAGTTTCACCAGCTCAGAGAAAACAAGAGTTCTGATGACTGGATCCTGATTAGTTTCAAATACTCTGTTTAAGTTGGTGATTTTAATCCCAATTAACCTTTCACTTTTATAGACTTGAAAATGTCTGTTGTCTTTTCTTATAGAAAATTCATTATTGAATTTAGGAGTTCAATCCAGCCCCCTAGGTCTATAGGTAAGAAGAATAGATTTTCAACAGGTTTCCACAGGTAATGGGAACACTGGGTAATAGGGACTTTTGTTTGTTTTTCTTTCAGCAGGCCAGAAATGCACATATATCTGGTATATTATATTCTCCCTTTTTTCCTCTGAAATTTTCCAAATAACATTCAAGGTTAAATGTATGAACAGATTATTTATCTCTCTAAAGAGGAAAATATGCATCTATTTTTTTTCTATAACATCTATCACATTGAATCTCCTAATGAAGCTGGTAGCTAATCTGGTACAGTAGTATCTGATGGGGAAACTCAATCATCTTAGCTAATAATGGAGCACCTACAGCCAAATTCAAGTCTTGAGGCAGGCCATTTGTTAACTCTTCAGAAATGTTGAACCTCTGGGTAATTAGTACTTTTAAAATGACTCCGAGGTATGGAATATTAATATGTGTTGAAACATGAAGTCACAATGCCCAGGATACCAATGTACACAGTAACAAAGTGCTAGATAGTTATTTACTTATTTATTTATTATGAAAGTCAAGCACGTGAATCATCAGGTAGATGAAAACAAAGATTGCCTAGAATCATAGAAAGGGATTTCTTTGGTTATAAGCAGAGGTCTAGAGACCACATACTCTCTCTGCCTCCCACTTTCGTTTTAGATGTTAAAGAAGAACTATTAATCATTCTTGCAGCAGTTCACTGCTGTCTTACTCCTGTCCTCCTACTTTTTTCTTTGTTAGCCATCTTAAAGTTTGTTTATAATTGTTTATAATTAAGTAGTACTGAACAATTTTTTTGCCAAAATGTGGTGATAGCAAACCCACCTAGGGTTGTTGTATTAGTCAGGGTTCTCATGAGAAACACAACTGATAGGAACTATGTATATTTTATTATATGCACATATAATTATAGAAGGGTATTTACTAAGTAGGTATGTATGATTGGAGGCTATATGGTTCAACAAATAGCTGTCTGCAATGAGAGAGCTGCAGAACTCAGTCACTGCTAAAGGGGACCAATGATGCAGCCCAAGTGTCAGGGCTGAAGGCCTGGAATCTCTCTGGAGAGAGTTTTACTGGTGTAAGTCTACATTGACAAGCAGAAAAAGCTGAGGTTAGTGTCCTTGGACAATGGTAGCCTCAGTGGATACACATGTTCTAGAAGAGTAGACATTGTACAAGCTAGCTAGCTTTTTCTGTCCATTCACAGTCCATCTGGGCTGCTAGTCTCTTGGATGGCATTGCCCTGAGTGTATTTTTCCCCTCAGTTACTGTAAGTTGTCTCTGGAAACACCTTCATAGATATACTCACAAGTGTACTTTGTTAATCTCTTAGTTATCTCTCAATCAATCAAGTTGAAAACCATGATTAGCCATCATAGCCTTGCACATATTAAGTACATACTTTACCACTGAGCTACACTCCCAAGTCCTTGGTTCCTCAAAGTCTTCTGTTTAAGTTCACACAGTTAGTGTTTTTGCAGTTATAGATTTAGTTTCGTCAGTCATGGGCTGCATTCAATTGTTTGTATGTCTTGGGAATATTCACAGTAAGTAAGCAAAAGTTCTGTTTTGATGTTTGTACTAATGTTCTATTAGTAGAGGATGTCATAATCTGAAATGGGGATGCTTATAAATTCACTTTTTCAATTCTTCTGTTTGCCACTCAGGCTCAATGTTGGATATCATCAAGTACATTGTCAATCGAGGAGAGCACAAGAATGGAGTTCTGGAAGAGGCAATAATAGCAACAATTCTTAAAGAGGTTTTGGAAGGCTTAGACTATCTACACAGAAATGGTCAGATCCACAGGTATAGTGTCTGTAGAATTCAACTCTTCATATACTTAGTTCTAGTTTTTTATGTTGTTATTTGTTTTTTTTCCCCTGAGATAAGGGCTTAAACTCAGTATTTGATGCTTTTGCTCTTTGCCTGGAGCTCTGCCACCTGATCCATTCCTTCAACTCCTAAATCTAGGGATTTTTTTGGTCAGTTTGGGGCTTGGGACTTTGAGGCCCTGGGCACTCTCTGAGCTTTTTTGCTCAAAGCTAGTGCTCTACCACTTGAACCACAGCTCCACTTCTGGCTTTGTGGTAATTCATTGGAGATAAGAGTCTCATAGATGTTCCTGCCCAGGCGGGCTTTGAACTGTGATTCTCAAATCTCAGCCTCCCCATTAGCTAGGGTTGCATGAGGACCTAGGCTCCCTATGAGCCATTGGAGTCAGACCCTAGATCTAGATTTTAAGGAACTTCAAGGAAGCACATGAGAATAAGTTTGGCATTGCTTGTAACTTAGGCTATATAGCTGAGAGGAAAGTATCAGGGCTGAAGATGTAGCTCAGTGGTTGATCCTGTGCTTAGTATGTGGGAGACTCTGCATTTGATCCCCAGTACTAAGAAAAACCAAACCAAAACAAAATTTAAGGATAAAAGGCTAAATTTGGATGGATTATATTGGTATACTTGGGATTGGTTTCTCTATTTTCACTAAAAAAAAAGCTGATTATAAAAAGTGTTAAGTAGACTCATTAAAAATTAGTTAACATAATTACTTTAAGTGCACTCAGTTGAACTGGATACTAGCTTTAATTTTCTAATACAGGCAAGGCTTCATAAATGTTAATTATTTTTGACCTAATGGTGAGAGAAGGAAGAGACACTGATTTCCTCCTTTTTTTTTGTAATATAGAATACTAGTTCTTTGAATAACATAGAATATGAGTGCATGATGCATAGTTGGAGTTTTAACAAATAGAAAACTATTTACCAGTAATACTAGTAATGTACTTATTTTAACCTGAACTATGAGGTATGTATTTAATTACACTATACTGTTCAATACTTAGAAAAAGACTATTACTTTAGAAATCAAATGTACAAATTATTTTTCTTTAAGTGTTGAAATTGCTCTGCATAGTTTCTATGTAGTAAAGAAATGCTATATGGAACTTTATAATCAATCACTGATATCTTTTCAAGGGAGAGATTGATCAAATCATTTTTTTCCCCATGGCTGTAGCTTGAACTCAGGTCTTGGGTGCTTTCTCTGAGCTTTTCCCTTCAGGCATGGTATTCTACCACTTGAGCCCCATTTCTGGCTTTTGGTGGTGGTTAACTGAAGACAAGAGTCTTACAGACTTTCCTACCTGGGCTGGCTTCAAACCTTGATAGTTAGATCTCAGCTTCCAGAATAGCTACAATTACAGGCATGAGATACTGGCACCTGATGATAAAACTAATTTTTAAAAACTCTATGGTTTGGAAAAGCACCACGGGCAAATTTAAGTGAAAGTAGAATGGCTTTACTTACATGAAGCTTTAATTCTTTATGATATGGTAATATTGTGAAATTAGGACTGTTTCTAACTCTGAAACATAAAATAGTCTACTAAGTAATGATTTAATTAAATATAGATAATGATTTCACATAAAGTATCTTTTATTGAAATTGTAATTGTGACCCAGGAGCAAAGTATAAAATGACAGTGTATCTTTGTAACATTTAAAATCTATAATGTAATTTAAATATTCATAAAATAATAATTATGTCAAACAGGCCTTGTGTGCTGTGTTTTAAAGACTTTCTCAGTGAGCCTATGTACTATTTTGTCTGTTCTTTCCAATTCATTCCCCCTTTTTTCATTCTAATAGGGATTTGAAAGCTGGTAATATTCTTCTGGGTGAAGATGGTTCGGTACAAATAGCAGGTAAAGCTGATAAAGATAAAAATGTTTGTTTATAGAACTGTAGCAGTTTCAAGAAAATGTTTAAATTGAATAAAATCATATGCTATCTAAAAAAATGCTTCTCTTTTCGACATGATAAGTATATATAACATGTTTGGGTCTGAAGTATGCCACATTGTCCTGCTGTTTTGATAAGTGTTTCTTGGATCTTCAAGTAAATAATGCTGTTTGAGTACAGAAATTTTGATGAAGAATGATCTTACTTTCAATTTCATTATTTCTATCTGAGAAGGCTTTTAGTCTTGAATATTGCAGATTGAATAATATTTATCTAGCTGCAAAAAAGTAGTTGATGAACTTGAAAATAAAAGTTTGTGCACATTAATTTAAAAGCCTTTTACTTCTGAAGAGGTGGCTGAGGAGGTATAACTCTTAAAATTTAAGGCTTCTTTTGTACTTAACTGTATCTGATATGGCAGTTTGTGATTGGCTGGTGGGCAGCTGGGGCTGTAGGAAATGATGTTGAGTGACTTTTCATGCTCTATGCTCCAGGCCTCTCATTCTGTTCCTTCAAGTTATCAGAGTATCCTGAAGGCCGGATGAAGGGCAACTGTGTCCATATAAACTCATCCATCCTTTCACCTAAAACTTTCTGTTTGTGGATGCTGTTGGAATGTTTGTCTGGACAGTTCTTTGGCATACTGACTGTGCCTGCCACTGCTGGGTGTTCAGCCTTCTGACTTCCTGGTGTTAGCTTTTATTAGCAGCTTTTGCTAGCACCACCCTCAGTGAAAATCAGTGATCGTGGCTCTGTCATTATGAATGTAGAGGTTTTCCATATTATTTTTTTTTGAGTTGAGGTAGAAAGGTTCTATTTTCTAGCATAGATTTGGGCTCTTTACATACATAGTTGTTATTAAGTTGATCATAGTAACATAATTCCTTTTCCAAGTTTTGTGTCAACTAAGCTGAGGATCTAGTGGTAGTAGAAATGGTAAGTAGAGTTCACAGAAAGCAAACCCCTGACATAGACACAAAGGCTAATAAGCTTTAGCCTGCCTGCCTTCCTGCCTGCTTTCCTTTCCTTTCCCCTTTCCCTTTTCTCTTTCCCCTTTCCCCTTTCCGCTTTTCCTTTTCCCTTTCCCCTTTCCTCTTTTCCTTTTTCCTTTCCCCTTTCCTTCCCTTCCCTTCCTCTCCCTCCCTCCCTCCCTCGCTCTCTCCCTTCCTTCCTTCCTTCCCTTCCTTCCCCTCTCCTCTCTTCTCTCCTCTCCTCTCCTCTCCTCTCCTCTCCTCTCCTCTCCTCTCTCCCCTCCCCTCCCCTCCCCTCCCCTCCCCTCTGCTCCCCTCCGCTCCCTCCCCTCTTCTCCCCTCCCCTCCCCTCTTCTCCCCTCCCCTCCACTCCCCTCCCCTCCCCTCCCCTCCCCCCTCTCATTCTCCCCCCCCCCCCTGTAAGGGGCGGTGGGGTCTGTCCTGGGATCAGCTCTAGGGCCTTGCATTCGGCTTACTCACCAACTACCCTCCCAGCGGAGTCAACCCTGACTTCCTGTTTGCCCCTTCCTCAGTGTCACTGGCCTCTCAGGTAGCCAGGAACACAGGGAGGATTCTGACCTTAGCTTTTGTATTTAGCTAGGCACACTGAGGAGGCTTTTGACTTTTTGTTTGTTTGTTTTAAGGAGTGAAGACATGTTTTGGAAATACAGCGGGAAACTAGAATTTTTTTTAAGTGAAAGCCTCCCATCTCTCTGGAGGACCAGTAATGAAATTGAATTACTTTGAAAAGATACATTTTCTTAAATCCAGTGGTTGGTTTAAGACCACTGAGAGAAACTGTGTATCAGTTAAGCCCCACAAAAGGCTTTTGAATCGAAATTTGACATCCACTGTGTGACTTGAGACATGTCCTTGCATCTTTAAATCCCAGATTGCTCATCTGTGAGATGGATGAGAATGCCTGTTTCAGGCAGGCTCTAATTTCCCTTGCAGCCACTGATTTAAGCTTCAAGTGCCCTGGGTACAGTGTATTTCTTGGAGCTGTAGTGTTCTTGGTGGAGAGGAAGAAGCCATTTTGCCTCCAGTATTTGTCTCATGTAAGCATTTCTGTTAAATTATCATTTTAGCCATCCAGGAGGCAGAGATTGAGAAGGTCATGGCTCCAGAAGAGCAAAAGGACTGGAGCCCTCAGACAAATGGTAGTGTGCCTGCTTGGCAAGAATGAACCCTAAAGAAAAAAAATATTGTCCAAGGCATCTTGATGAACGTGATTGAATTTTTAAGACTCGGAATCATTAGTGTGCTTTTAAAAAAGAAATGTATCTCTATATAATGTTTGCATTAATAATTTTATGTTGTCTATTTTAACAAGAATGTCCAGATTGCACAAGTTTTATGTCACCTAAAGTCTAGATACAGCCCTGCCTGTTGTTGCAAAAATGAAAAAAACTGTATGAAATCAATGATATAAAATGGGCAATGGACAGGAACAGTTCTCTGGGTACAAAATGAAAATGACACTTATTGTAAAGTAAAAGTAACTCTAACTCATAAAACAGGGTGAAGCCAGCACAGGCAGAAAAGGCCATTAAGTCTCTTATCTCCAGTTAGCCACCAAAAAGCTAGAAGTGGAGCTGTGGCTCAGTTGGTAGAGTGCTAGCCTTGAGCAAAAAAAAAGAAGAAAAAAAACTCTCAGGGACAGCACCTACGCCCTGAATGTAAGCCCTAGGACCACCACAAAATTAGAAAAAGAAAAAAGAAAAAGAAATGATTCACTGAACTGCCAATAAGATAAAGCCATTTTAAAACCTTTTATTATGAAAACTTTCAGGCACAATCCACAGAAGAGAGCTTGGGTCCTCTTATTTTCATCCCCTAGCTTGGTCATCCCTTTCCCTGCTACGTTGGCATCTCATGTCATTATTCATAAGGAATTTTGTTTTTCAACTGTCTAGATACCTATAGATGCATATTTTGTCATCACTAAGGCAATGTCTCTTATCCTACAAGTTAGGAACAGCTTGAAAAATTCTTCAACTAAAAAAGCAACAGCTGAAAAAATATTGTGAGCAAAATGCTCAAATAGTCTGTTGTTAAAAGTGCAGACTTTGGTATTAACTAGCTTGGTTGAAATTCCCAAGGCACCAATCAGTAATTCTATGACCTTAGGCAACTTACTCTAAGACTCCTTTCCTTTAACAGGGGATAAAAGTACAACCTGGCTCATGTTTCTCTGTGAATTTGAAGGCAGCTCTTCAGGTCCAGTACTCTTAACAGTAGTGGGCACAGTGGGCAGGCGATGGATATTATCAGGAGCTTGTCTGCTGCTACTACTGTCACGAGTGGTACTGTTGTACCAGCGTGGCTACACTCAGCAGGATCATACTGTGTCTCTCTGCTGTGCCTGGAGATCCTCAGTTTTGTCTTGTACAAGATTTGGCTCTGGGGGACTTGACGAGATAGAAAGAAGAAAACTCACTAATTAATGGAATTTGGAAGAGAACTTTCCTGTAAATCAATCTAACTTCAAGCTGATAAGGAAGTACATGAAGAGTTTTCTTTGGTGATGAAATGATTGTTTCTCCCTAAGAGGGTCAAAATCCCACAGATTGCCTTTGAAGTGCAAAGGCAGGTCAGCCCTGCCTTACTCTGCCGCTTGGTACCCTGCCAGCCTCTTCATCTCATTATTCTTGTCAGATTAATGATCTGAGCTCTTTATTGGGTTCTGGAACACATTGTCCTCTTCTTTTTTCTCAGTTGGGATCCTCCAAGCTAAGGTTTCTTGAGCTTTTCTTTCTGTCTCAATCCTTAGGAGGTTTTCTTCACTGTAGGGGGTAGGTAGTACAAGGTTGCTGGTGGAAGTTGGGGAGTTCAGAAGGTCCCACAGAGCATGGTAATGATAAATGAGTTGGTATATAAAGGGCACAGTGGACAGTTGTCCAGGGTTTTCTTGGCATCCTATTGGTACATACAGCTTCAGGCTTCTGTAATATAAACCAGAACCACCATTTCCGAGCTATAAAGGATAGCCTACTAAGTATTTAAATAAGTGCCATATTTATATCTCTGAAATCGTTACTTACTTAAAATTTCCAGTTTGTCCCTCTTCTCTCACCTGAGCACAATGCTGAATTCACACACAGCTTTTATTTTGTTTTGTTTTAGAATATTAAGTATTTTATGCAGTGTTTAGCATACTATCTACATAAATAAATGAAGACATCTGATTTCATGGTTTTATGTTGACTTAAGATCCAGACATACCTTAAGTGCTCAGAACTTGTCTTATACGGGTGACTTTTTAGATATATTATTATTTAGAAAAAGAAACACATGCCATACATATTCATAGCATTGGAATAGTACCTTTCAAGGAACATACATACCCACAGTTTTTCTTTATTTTTTAATTTGAATTTTATTGTAAAGGTGATATACAGAGGGGTTAGAAGTGTATAAGTCAGGTAATGAGTATATTTCTTTTTAAACAATGTCACTCCCCTCCCTCATTTTCTCCCACTTTTTCCCATCCTACCACCCACCCCCAGGCTGTAAAGTTCATTTCCAACATAGTTTCTAGTGAGTGTCACTGCTGGATTGGTTCACCTTTTGTCCACAGTTTTAATTTAACCACAGAGATGTAGGTTGGGAAGAAATCTTAGACAACATCTACTTTAGTTCCCCTTTTCTCCTTTGTCAAAGTCATAAGAAGCCTATATAACACTGCAGTAAAACCCTAGAGCAGGGAATTTCATTCATCTTCTTTTTCTTTTTTTCAATTTAATTTTTTTTTGTAAAGGTAATATACAGAGGGGTTACACTTATGTAACTCAGAATCACCCCTCCCTCATCTTCTCCCAGTTTTCCCCCTCCCAATCCCCTTCCCCCTAAGTTGTATGGTTCATTTCCAGCATAGTATCTAGTGAGTGTCACTGCTGAATAGGTTTATCCCGTGTCTCATCCTTTCTGTGCTTCCCCTCCACCTCCCAAATCATAATCAACTTGTATATAAGACAAAGGGTACAGAAATC